GTGTACAGAATGTGGTGGCTCTTACACCCACGCACTGAGTTTTCGGGAGCACTCCCACTACTGAAATCATGGCTGAGTGGTCTGGAGAGGGAAGGTCTCAGGTAAGAAGCAAGGGCTGTTGGTCACCAAATATGAACAGTATTAATCTCCATTCCCTGTAGGTTATGGCAGGGATTTTGTGATGTCTGTAAAGCCACTGAGAATTGAGGGTCTTTGCAAACAAGTCACTTTTTGCTGATATCCTGAGAACTGCCACGGGGAAACTGTAATAAAGAAGCTGTGGATAGTACCAGGTGCTTTAGCCACCTAAGGCCCACTTCAAGCAGAGATTTGTTTAAAGTAGGAATATCTCTGCAAAGATGCACTGCTACCTCTGACTGAGGTAGAAAAAGGCTGAGAGAAGGGCTCTTTCTTCCCTTCCCTCAGCTACATCTCCTTTCCAGGTCCTCATGCAAGAAAAAATGAGCCCTGATACYTGCTGAAATCAAGGACAGCCTTCACACAAATCCTCTGTTTTTGTTCTGTTATCCCTATCAACCAAGTCAGAGCCTGATCTGCCTAGGTCAATACTGAACCCTTTTTCCTTACCTCCTCCTTGTCAGCTGCTGGCTTTCAAACTGCTTTGTGCATCTGAGATGAATGAAGGCATCTTTGAGGCAAGCTTTGGGATGAGTGAGGAGTGACTACTGGGGTGTCCAAATGCACAAGCGCTGCTATGTACGACAACGGCAGACCAGACAAACTTGTGACACCCTGCCTCCCTCCCCTGCACCCCTGCAGGAGAGCTGCAGTGCCTGGGAGACGGGTAAGCATGGAGCACCTGGCCCCTGAGCCTGAGAACCACCACTGCTTTATGCCTTMTAGCTAATGGGTGGTTTTAGCTTTGCTAATCTCTAATCAGTGCTGGAGAAACCTAAACAAACTAGCCTGGACCATTCCAAAGCATTCATAATTACTGGATCAGGCTCAAAGATAATGCATTTAGGGCTGCTCTAAAAACACTTCAGATAGGGTGAATGTAAATAAAGTGGCCTATAATCGACCCTTCTGCTGACATCTGAACCCTGGCTCTGCTGATGCACCTGGGGAAAACAATATAAGGATGGAGAAGAGTGCCTGGGGCATCAGGCAGGTCCAGACCTACATCTGAGCGTGACCTTTGGAGCAGCAGAGTTAAGGGTGTGGATCAGAGCCGCAGGAGCTTGTGGGGTACCGGAGCGCCTTGCACGGGAGCCAGCCAGGCTGCAGAGAACGAGTGCTGAGGGAAGTGTGAAACACGCTGATGAGTTTGGGGGGGGTTGGAGTAAGTACCAGAGGCTGATGTGCAAACACAGGGGTAACTCTGGCAGTGCAGGTAAGGTTTGCAGCCACCATCTGAGCACCTAACCCTGATGAGGAAGAAGGTGTGATGCTGGGAGCTCATTTCTGGGCCACTCRTTTGTTTCCTCGAAAGCTTGCTGCTTGCAGTGTGTTTGCTTGGGGAGCATCTGTGGGCAGGATGGAACATGTGGGTCTGGCCAGCGCCTCCCTCCTCCCTGCAGGGCTCTGCTCAGCTCACTCCCACCACCCCAATGCAGTGGGCAAAGCTGCTGGACTGSGGTGGCTGGAGGCAGGCTCAGTTTCATGGGGCAAGGCAGTATGGGGCCAGATTGTTGGGACCTACAATCCTGAGGAGTGTGTAGGGAGGGACAGAGAGCCAATTCTCTGGCATCCAATAGCTTTAGGATTTTAAGGCTTAATATTCCTTTTGAGAGGAGAGTACAGATCTCCTGTGCAGAGGACAGGGATCACGGCAGAGCTGCTTCTGCCTTTTCTACCGATTCACCCTGGCCTCGGGCATGTTCCCCYGGCAGCCCCTGGGAAGGGATGGGGGCGAAGGAGGGAAACCCCCATCATCCCACTTTGATGTGCTTCACTGTGAGCCAGTGGCAATTCCCACATCCCAGTATCTTTTACTCAGCTGAACTTTGCTGAATCTCCCGGGAGAAAGCAAAATGCTGGCCACCAAATCCATCAATCCCACCCTTCCTCCTCACAGCATCCCCTTCATCATCACCTGCCCCTCACCAGCTCTGGGACTTGGGAGGCTTTCTCCAGCACTCACCATAAAGCACTTTGTGTCAATCTACTGAAAAGGAGGATTTTAAAAATAATAACACTGTTTTAATCTTATTGAGTGTTTTTTTTCTCCTTTCTTTCTTCCCCCCTCTCCCCCACCCCCCATTACCCATGAAGCAAAAATGAGGGAAAGACAAAGGCAGAAGGGCACTTTGTTTTCTCCCCCCAACMCACTCGGAGCTGTAAAATACTTCTTAATCAGTGGGAGCAAGAGGATCTCYGTGCTGGGCCTCCACTTTTTGTTTGTGAGTTTATTTTTCCTAATTCATCCTTGACAAAGGACAGAGCCATAAAAGAATCAACCAGCACGTCTGTGGGAAAAAACTGCCCTGAAAAGGGTCGGAGGAATACTGCAGCATTTCCAAACAATTCCAAGGGCTAAAGCCTGTGTGAGATGCAGCTTCAGCTATAACTTGCCTTTCTAGGAACAAGCCTACATCTGTTTGGCAATGCCATATTTTGTAGGGTAAAATAAACCCTTGAGAACAAACAGGCCAGCTTATCCAAAGAGGTAAATGCCTGGGAACAGAGCTCACTTGTTAATCCTAAAACTGTCAGCAAAGACCCACTGGAGAAATTATAGCTGGCCACGGGCACTCAAGCTGTTTCCCTCTGCCTCCCCGCCTCCCCCCATCCCCACAACAGCTGTAAAATCTTCTTTATTGTTCTGCTGGAGTTGGAGAGCGGCACAGAGAGGTCTCCCAGCCCAGTGCTGCAGCAGCAGGGGCAGGGGGAACATCTGATCTATTGTATCTGCACCGGTGTTATTGCTTCAGTGGCGGACAAAGAAAATGACGGCGATAAAAGAAGGAGAACAGCCCGAGCACCTACTAAAGAGGCATATGAACAGGAAATCCTGGCTCGTTCCCACATCTGAGCTGCGTACGCTTTCTTTCCCTACAGGATCATTATGTTTAATGTCCTCCTGCAATTCAGGCAGCTGAGCCAGCGGAGCCCCTTCCCTCCCCCTCCTCTCCACCTTCCCTTCTCTCATCAGATTTCGAGCCCTCCCTGTGGAAAAATGATTTGTGCACAAGCAGCCTACACAACGGTGCTTAGAAGGAATTTGCCCCTGCCAGGAGTTATTAATGGCACCCCAGTAAATGCCCCCAGCAAAACGGGCTGCCGCAAGCATCAAGTGCGTGTTGAAAAATCGGGTTTAAATCGTCCCTCGGGGAATGACCTATTGGCCACCTAAAAAACGCAGGATTGGTTTGCTGTATAATTAAGTTCAGGCCATCTCTTGTGCTTACACATGCAGAAACCCAGATGTCATCTCGGTGCGAGTCTGAGTTCTGGGCTCTTTTAAAGCACCAGAAGACAGACCGTGATGGCATAACATTTGCCACTGGAAGAAAACCTACTTTGAATACTTGGAATATTTAACTGACTACAACAGATAATTAGCCAAACTCTCTTACGCCTCCAAATATAGATTCATTAGTCATATGAAAATATCTCATTGGAACCAAATGTGAGTCATTAGTGAAGTCAACAGCAGATCATAAAAAAGGTACCGAGAGCCTCCTTCCCGTTATCCCCGAGAAGTTGTAAGTGTGCAATGAAAATAATTTGCTCCATTTTCTACGGAACATCTGCTGGGAAATCTGTTTAAAAGGGAGGCTTTTGAAGGGCTGCTGGTGTGCAGGGCTGTGCATCCCATTTTCCGACTTTGAGATTTGTGGGAGTAAGAATTGCAAATTCTGGGCTTTTTTACTGTGGTTTTTTTTTTTTTTTTTTTTTTTTTTTTTTTTTTTTTTTTTTTTTTTTTTTTTTTTTTTTTTTTTTTTTTTTTTTTTTTGTCTTCTTGAAGAGACTTTTTCAGGATAAAATTTGGGTTCTGTAATATAAAAAGTGATTTTGTAATATGAAGTATAATAAAAATCTCTCTGCTATTTGCTTGTAATTTCAGGGGAACAATTTTGTTGGCTTGGAATTTGGAGTGGAGTGCCCTACACTTAGAGAAATGAGTGCTGCTGCCACAGGGACCCCAAAACCAACTGGATACTTTCAAAGTGAAATGGGGCTGGYTAAAAATCAGTGTCCAGCTTAAGCAAGGTGCAAACAAGCACAATGGTGTGTTTTAAAAATTAAAGCAAATGGGTAGCTACTCTATGACAAGGTATCTGCAGCATGATGAACAGACAGAGAAAGGGATCATGCTTGATTAAACTCTTGTAAAACCTTGTTTRGGAAGACCCAGGGACTGGGATAGGATTGCATACTCAGTCCCAAGATGTATCACACATTTCACAGAGTGAAATGCTGAACGCTGCAGTCCATCAACCTACCCCGCAGTTATCAATCTCACAAACAAACATGTTGTTGTATAACTCCAGAGCCGCGAGCAATCCTGTGCCAAAAGTTGTGTCCCGCGAGTCGTCAACAGCAGCATTTTTCCTAATTTGTAAAAAACCAAAACCAGAACAATGCAAAATTACACCAGCAGGTTTTAAATGCTCAAAAGCTGACATTTTTCGAGTGGCTGAGGGAACTCAAGCTGCCTCAGTACCTGACTTTAACGATACACCCCACRAAGATATTAACTGAGTTTTCCAGCTTCATTAATTCAGTTGCATTCCAGTGGCTTTCTTGTTACTRTATTTTAATTATGAGGAAAAAGTCACCTCTATGTAATATCCCTTGTACTTAAAATCTTCTGTGTAGCCTGCGAYAGACAGGAGGAAAAGGAGTGCGATAGGGGTTTGAAATGGGCATTTCACACCAAAACCCCAAAGCTCAGAGACCTCTGTCTGTGTACTCTGGCTGTRCCCCACTTTTGGTCACCATTTTGTCAGGCAGTGCAACAGGGAGGTGCCGAGTCAGCTGCAGAYGGCTTTGATCAGGGGGTAAAATGCCCTTTGGGCAGCCAGGATGCAGACATGGGGCATCCCTATGGGCCTAGAGCCCTCCGTCTCCAAGAGGTTGCACCCAGCCACAGGGTCCTGTTCCCATGGAGGCCCGGTGGCTCCCAGGCCCAACATTTGGTGAGCAGCTGGGTGCTGGGACCATCCCTTAGTGCAGATTTTGTCCTCCTTCCCCATGGTTGGCTCCTGGACTGAAATGTGGATGCTGTGCCAGGCCTAGCACTTTTGGGGCAGCGGGGTGAGGGTTGCCCCTTGCTTACGCCCCCAGCTCCCTCTTGTTTCTGTGGGTGTGGAGATCACCCATTTCCCCCTCTCCCAACTGGGTGTTGCTGTGAGGCACGACCCCAGCCCTCTGGTGCAGTGGGATCTCCATCTCTCCCTATTCTGTGTGTCCCTGTGTGGCTGGTGTCATGATTCCCTCAGTGTTTGGCCCCGCCGTACTCAGCGGGGCAGGTCCCCATTTCGGGAGGCAGACCTTCTCTCCCACCSCAGCAGGCCCTCGCCCCGTGTTGGGCAGAACCCCCAGCTCCTCTTCGGCTCATCCCCAACCGTACGAGCGGCTCCCCCCAGCCCACTCTGGGCCTGATCCCCGCTCATCACCGGGAGGGACAGCCCCGACCCCCGCGGGGGAAGGGGGGCGGGCGCGGGGGCGGCTCTAGGACCCAGCGGCAGCGCGGCGCGCCCGGCCCCGCTCAGCTCCGCTCAGCCCGACTCCACACCGAGCCGAGCCGAGCCGAGCTGAGCTGTACCGAGCTGTGCCGTGCCTCGCCGTGCTGTGCCGTGCTGTGCCGCGCCGGGCCGTGCCGCTCCACGCCACGCCGCCCGGTTCCGCTGCTCCCCGCCCCGCGCCGCCCCGCCGG